CGGAGCTCTGTTCATACAGCCAGCGAGTCTCCTGTTGTGGGCGGACCGTCACATTCTTTCCATAAGAGCGGTGCACATCCTCGGTCTCCTAAATCTTGGAGTGGACAAGCTTTCGAGGAGTGGGATTCCTCCAAGGAGAGTGGAAACTTCACCCAGGATCGGTGCAAATGATTTGGGATCTGTTCGTAAGGCGGAAGTCGACCAGTTCGCTACAACAGAGACCACGCACTGACAGCGTTCTTTTCGATTCCACTCCTCTCTGACGGAGGATTCTCTGACATTGCGCTGGATGGGACCAGGCTTTATGCGTTCCTCCGGTGAAGATTCTGCCTATGGTGTTATGCAAAATTCTCGTGGCCCCGAACTGAGCCAAATCAGCCCTGGTTCGCGGACCTGAGAGGGTTATTGGTGGCTCCCCCATGGGAAATCCCCCTCAGGAAGGACCTGCTGTCTCAAGCGAATGGCACGATATGGCACCCAAGCTCCGTGCTGTGGAACCTTCATGTGTGGATGCTGTGGGGACTTTGAATGTGTGGGACACCCTGCACTCACGGTCTATGCTCTGAAATGGGGAGTGTTCACGAAATGTTGCCAGGACATCGATGTTGACCCAGGTAGCTGTCCCATGTCAGATGTTCTGCGCTTTCTCCAGCACAGATTGGATAACGAGAGTTTGCCATCCACGTTAAAGGTGTGGCAGATATTTGTTACTTTTCATTCCCCGGTTGACGAGCAATCGATTTGTAAGAATGCTCTGGTGATCAGGTTTCTGAGGGGAGCGAGGAGATTGTGTGCTTTATGGCCGCCATCCGTGCCCCCGTGGGATTTAGCTCTAGTTTTGAGGGCTCTATCTTTACCGCCGTTCAAGCCGGTTGCATCAATCGCGATTAAGGAATTTCCGCGGGAGATTCAAGCATGTCTTTGCATCATTACGTCACATCTGTGCACATAAAGAAGGAGTCTCGGTTAGTAGGCTATATTGCATGTGAGGATGTTGGAGGTTTTATAGCCTTTTCTCACAGCACTTGTATCATTAAACTTATCAATTTGATGGCGAATACAGAAAGGTTCAAACGACAATCACCAGTGACAACAGATTCACACGCTGTAAAAGCAAAAAGACTTCAGAGTTGCTACAGAAAAAAAAGAGACTGCAACCGGACCCATGCGAAAACAAGGATAATATCGGAAGGGAAATACATGTAATCACGTAATGCTGATGTTGCTAACATTAACAATTTGAGAAGAAAACATAATTTGCATGGTTTTGCATGATATGATAAGCGATTGTTAGATTTAATCAGCGCGAATTACTGCAATGTCAGAACCAGAAACAAAATTGGATTTTTAACTTGTTCAGAATAGGGCCCTATGATTTCCACGATCACGGAATCGCGGACAAAATTGCGGAGCATAATTGACAAATTACTTGTGTTAATGCGGTATTTCGTGGAATTTTTAAATTTGGTTTGAAATTCTGTTTTTGTGTGGGAGAACAACGTATGTCTGGTGAAAATGCAGACTGGGGGAAGCAAATCACAACCCCCACCCGTCATTTCAGCTACAATGACGAAATCAAAACAATGAAAGCATGACGCAGCGGCACTCCACGGCTCTGCTTTTGCGGGCAAAAAGTTAAGAAACTCAACGCTATAAGCCATCAGTGCCGAGCCAAGCAGTTCGCAAGTGGCTTATGCAGTGTTTCCCACACATTGACTAATTTGCGGCCACAAAATCAACTCCGGCCGCCACATATTACGTTTCGTTCATTTTTTTTAACACTATTTAAAACACGTAGCATATTCTTTAAGTTGTATTTCTCTATCACTCACACGTCTCTCTCACATACACACACCCACACACAACGTGCACACCGCGTCTGTCTATGAGGCGCCGGATTGGACAAAAGCGAACTCTGTGAGCAACACTGGGCGAGAGAGAGAGACAGAGTGTGACTTAAAATTATATAAACTAATATAATTTATTTTACTGGACAGTTTAAAGCTCATAACCATATTTTGTTGCTATTTGAGGAATGCAGTGTTATGTGGCATTATGTATTTGTCCAGAAAAGGCTACTGAGTAAATGTCTGTTACCTCAATAAATTTAAGGTCATTAATAATTAAAAGCACTCTCTTTTTACGACTAAAATAACAGTCAAGGGTAAAAAAAAAAAAAAAAGAATTCCCAAAAATTAAAACGGAAAAATCGGAATTTGGGAAAAAATAAAACATAGGGCCCTATAATATGACATTTCCGATGAAAATTATTATGTTGGTCATACTTTCAAAAATAATAATTTGTGAATCTGATTGCCAGTATCCACACCGGTATGGTGACTGCCAGCTGCACACTCTCCTCAAACATTGTGTTCATCCACACTGTGTCGTGTTGAAGTACAATTCACGTAAAGTTGATAATTCCGCGAATAACTGCAATTGCAGATTTCGAACAGAGATGGTGACAAAGAGGGAAAACCGCGGACTGCAGCTTTAATGTAAGATCAGGCCTAAGCCAAATAACTTAAATGTGTATTTTAAAGAATTTCATTATGAAGCTTTTTCATTTTGATATCAAGACAAATGTATCATCCTAACATTTTTTATGCCCCCCAAAAATAGCAAGATATATCACATCAAGTAATCAAAATTCATTCATGAAGGAAATTTAATCTGTTTAAAGTTGCCTCCATAAACTTAACTTTTTGACACATAAAAAAATCCTTGACATTAACTTATGAATATACCCACAGCTGTGAGCTAAGGCAAGCTATGCCTGTACGTTAATGCATCATCTCATGACTAGTAAAAGCGCACAGGGATAAAAAGGATGATTCAGCATACAACACACAGAAATACAAAGAAAATAATGTAGCCTTTGCCAATAAAAATTATGTCAAAAATATAAATTAAATGATAAGCAGTCCAAAACTGTAGAGTCACAGCTGTTTAAACTACAAGGCTTCCAGTGGAGGCTTAAGAGGCATAAAAAGACATCTGTGGAGTAACACAAATATCTTGAAGTTACATGGGATTTCTGCTCACCATCATCAGCCTATGCTTAATTCTGAAGAAATGCCAGACAAACACATGGGCCAGGCAGCGTAAACAAAACTTTCAGTCATCACTGGTGCAAACAAGAAAGCTAAAGTCCTCAGCAACCAAACACACACACACACACACAAACAGATACTTAACTGCGGCACTTGCGCCGCAGGGACATCAAGCGCACTATCCAGGTGACAGTTCTCTGCAACCAGGAGGCCTTCATTGAGACTAGGAATAGATCAAGATGACAGCTAGCTTTCCCTTGACTCTGGTTGTTTTTGTTGACACACGCACACACACTCTCTTTTGTCTCTCCTGGCCTCTCTGTCAGCTCTGTATCTGAGGGATTAGCTGGGGATTTCTACTTAGCCCAACAAGATCAGTGGCAGGGTGCGAGAGGACACACTACGTTCAGCCAATGAAATTAAGACAATAACTTAGACAGTTAGTTAGTCATCAGTAAGACATAACCATAACATCACTGACACGTTTGGGGCCAGACATCTCCACTTTAAAACGGACTGATTCTTGGTACGATCGAACATTTTACCCAGATTTAGCCTTATCAAGCATCTTGTTTCAGGCACAGCAGGTGATGTGAGTAATCAGATATTAATCGCTTGGCTTTAAGCCTATGCCTGATTGTGAGTCATGTTCCAACGTGTATAGTGAGAGGTGCATGTAGGGCCTCTAATCAACAGACAGCATCTTTCTGAAAGTGGACTTAAATACTGAAATTGAACATGACACCAGGGCTAATGCATCTTCCTGACAAAATATGAATCTACTGTATTCATAAATGAACAACGTACCTTGGCACAAGTGCTTTGGTGTCGCCAGCACCAAAGTTATAAAAAAAATTATAAAAAAAAGAAATATTCTCAATTAAAATAGAGATTGAATAAAACAAATTATAAATGTTAGATGAAAAACAAAAAATAGACATGCTGGCAATTAACTTATCAAAAAAAAACTATGCATACTACTTAATAAAGTAGTATTAGGTGAAGTGAAAAAGTTTTTTTATGTCAAAAAGTTTAAAGTTGCCTTCATTAACCTTTTTTTGATGACTTGAATGCACCTCTTCTGTGTTTGTTATGTTTTTTTTTTCTACATTAAAAATTAACCTTGATATTTTTGGAGCAAAGTAATGAGGATGATACATTTGTCCTGATGAAATGCTAAATGAAAAAGCTTCATTAAAATAATGAAATTCTTGAAAAAGAAAAGCTTATTAAGTGACTTGACTTAATCTTAATTAATATAAAAATAAATTATTTAAACTAATGTGGTGTGCAAAATACGCCAAAATATAACCATGCAAAATATCAAACCAATTGGCATGCAAAATAAATGTACTTGTTATTTAAATTTTAATTTATTTATTATTACTTTTAACCAACTGGTTTCTAAATCTTTTTCAGAGAATGTATTAAAACCATTAAAGATGTATACTTGTTTGTCTTACGAGAGGTTCTCTTATACTGTGTAATATGGCTAAAACCTCTTTTCCATGAGATATTGAAGCCAAAAATTATCCTTAATTTTGAATTAATGTAAAAGGCGTTGTGGCAGCATGCAGACAAGGTGGCTCGCGTGCCTATTGGCTGTCCTGTGGCAACTTCAGGAACCTATCGACAGAGGCCCTTTAGTGTTGAAGCGGGCGTGGCCTAGCCCTATATATATATATATATATATATATATATATATATATCTGCGTTTCCCGCCTGGGTAAGGATCATGCAGCTCTCACGCTCACTGACGGCGGCTGCCATCATTGTGAGCTATTGCCATGATGACTCTGAGGACTCGCCTGGCATTTTTTCACCGAGTCTGCACTTCCGTCCGCTGTAGTGCTGCGTCGTAAGGTCCCGAGCCTTCTCCAGTCCGTAAAAGCTAGCCGGTTAGCCCGCCAGCTTCACTCGAGTCGCTCACTGACGGACAACAGCCACTGCTTCCAACATTAATGAGGACGAGATAGCTACATCTGTAGAGAAGGCCAGCTGCTCTGTCAAACAGTGAGGATTGGGCGAGCTCTGTGGACCTCTCAATACACAGTCCTACCCTTCGGTCTGTCTCTTGCACCCCGTACATTGTCTCTCGCAACCCTGAAAAACCCAGTCGGTGGTAGCCTACATAAATCCCCAGGGCCGCGTTAAATCCCAAAGCCTTTACAAGCTGATGGAGCGCCTCCTTGTCTGGGCTCAGCACAATCTGCGCTCACTGAGAGCAGCACATGTGCCTGGTTGCCTGAATTTCGGGCCAGACACAGTCAATCAGAATCAATACTCCATCAGGAGAATGGTCTCTGCACCGCAGACTGTCCCTCTGCTGTGGGAAACATTCAGCAGAGTACAGATAGATTTGTTTGCGTCCCAAGAGAATGCTCACTGTCCGAAGTTTTTCTCCAAGAGCAGGTATGCGCTAGCCCACGTCCGGCCCCGCTGCCTGCTTTTCCCCCTGCCTCAAGTGTTGGAACGAATCAGGGAAACCGAATGCTCAGTGCTTCTTGTGGCTCCGCTCTGGACAACCCAAGCTTGGTTCCCAGTCCTGATGCAGCTGACGAGCACTGCCACTTGGCCAATACAGTTGAGGAAAAAGCTGTGGTCCCGCAAACCTCCCAGACTCCCAATAGTGCCGTCTACTAGACGACTCTACACCTCAATATGGTCGGTGTTTGCTTGCTAGTGCAAAGCCCGAGGCTTTTCACCCCTAGACCGCAGGGTTACGGAAGTGCTCTCCTTCCTTCGAGAGCTGCTGGATAAGGGCAGAACCCCATCCACGCTCAAAGTCTATTTTAGCTGTCGTAGCTGTAAAATCTGCGACTGTCTTGTCACTGGGGAAAAATTATCTGGTCATCCCCTTCCTAAAAGAGCTAAGAACCTCTCATAAGAGAACGTTTACTAACGTAACCTCGGCTCTCTCTAGAATAGGGAACGAGTACTGTGTATCTAGCTGTGCCTGCAACATGCTCTGGTTTGCTTCGGCGATGAAAAAAACAGTAATATCAGCTCATCGAGCTATATTTATAGGGCTAGACCAAGCCAGCTTCGGCGGGAGTGTGAAGCAGTGGGTGTGAGGCGCCCCCTTTGGACCGTCACCAAAGGGCCTCTTTCGGTAGGCTGCTGCAGTTGCCGCAGGACAGCCAATAGGCACGTGAGCCGCCTTGCCTATGTCTGCATGCTGCCGCAATGCGTTGTACATTAATTCATAATTAAGGATAAATTTTGGCTTCAATATCTTGTCGAAAAGAGGTTTTCCCTAGCATAAGATATTACTCGTTCCCTCTTCTAGAAAGAACCGAGGTTACGTTGGTAATACACTTTCTTTGAGTACACTTTCTTTAAAGTGATATTTCACTCAAAGATTATGTTCATTTTCTGAAGCCACATGTTCATGAAGTAAAAGGTAACTAGAAGCTGTTACTCTGCCTAACATCTCTCAAGTACCTAGCAATATATATATTAATGTTTAGGTTTAGATCCACATGCATGGGCACATGATGATAGAAATTTTGTAGATATTTTACGTTCCTGTGATGCATACATTATTAAATCACTAAGGGAAAATAATGTCCCATCATTGTGTTCAATCATTATAAATACTTTTCCATAAAATAATGCATTTTGAAAGCTACACATTGGACTTGACTTTACCCTACAATACAAAATAGTAACAATTTGAAATGTACTTGGTGTATCATAACTTTCATCAGCCATGTTGATTTTATTTTATTATTTTTTTTGCTATAAATAAATAACAATGTACAAAAAAGAGACAGTCGCCCAGTTAAGTCAAGACTCAATGGATCAAAGTTGTACTCACCTTGCAGGTTCTTTCCATCGTTTCAACCAGTTGCAACAGTTCGCCATCAGATTGAACATTTCACCCGAAGTGTTTGAAATGGGATTTATTATTTCATGACAGTTCCAACATTACTAAAGTTCCTGACTAATGTATTTCCTTTGTGTTTTAATCAACCCGTTATCTGCTATCAGTCTTTTATATGCCTATCTTGTGATTTGAGTAAAGACATCTTATTTTATCATTCTAGCAGAGAATAAGGAAAGAATAAACTAAAGATGACAACTATGTTACATTGTTTAATTATCACTTACAAAACTGACCATAGAGTTTAGTTTCATTTTACTCACTAACGTTACCCGAATCAATGCACCCGCACTGAAGGCTAACCAGTTAGCTAACTACTGTACGATTCATGAAAACTGAATTACATTATTCTGTCTTTAGATGGAAAATCGAATCATACAATAACTAACGTTATACATACTGTTTCAAAGACGTCCCGGTGAATGTTTTACACTAAATTTTAGACCGTTTCTTTTTTTTTTTTGCAAAAAGATGTAACGTTACACGGGATAACTGTTAGCTTGCTAACAGTCCGCTTTGTTGACCAAGCTGAATCTGGCTGCTATGGCTGCAGCCACAAGCTCGTCGAGGGTCGGGGTTGCCAAGTGTTTAAAAGAATTGAATAATATAATGTAACATATGAAAAAATAATTAAATTAAAACTTTCTTTGTAAGCTTTCAACATATGTGTAATAGGACAGCTTATAATCCTTACACAGAGACCCGTATTATACTGCTTCGATCTAAGTGCCCGAAAAATATCCGTTTGGAAATAGTTGACTTGGCAACACTGTACTTACCTAAGAGTAACGTAATCTAAACAGTGAACAGTGCCTCCCGTGGACGGAGACATAGCAAACTGTAGATAATTCAAATGAAATGAAAATGTTCACATCACATAAACGGGAAATATAAAATAAAAATATTATGGGCACCATTCTGTCTGTAATGTAAAGTAAAGACAAAGTAAAGTAATATCTGCATTTTTTTTCCCCATTTGGGCATGCCAACGATATCCAAAGAATTCATGTCTGTTTACAATAAACCAACAAACTCAAAGCCCCCTAAAATGTGTTTATTAATTAGGACAAAAAAGCTCTCAATATATAAACCCAGTGACCCAATCCAATCATATACAATTTACACTCTTGAAACATTTACAGAAGATACAAAAAAAAAAGAAAAAAATAAATAAGACTGTTACTGCTCATAAATAGAACAGTTTTAAACATGCCTCTATTTGAGACACAAATTAGTCCTCCCCTTAAATGTATTTATTTATTTATTTTTTTTGTTGCTTAAAGAGCAGTCCTTTAGAATATGTCATGACAATGTTCGGTGAGGCTTTGTGGCACATGTACACTCCTCCATTAACATGGATATCTGAAGTTGTAAAGACTAGGCCTTCCCAGCAGCACCAGCTTGCTGTTATAAGCCAACAGTTCTTCTGATCCCAACAGAAGTCAGTCTGTCATTTAAAGACTGGGTGTCTTTAATTCTCCTCAAGTGATCACTGACTTAAACAGAAGCAACTTGATGACATTTGCAACATATGCAATCAGTGAGAATTTACAATGGTTCACATATCAAGGTTAAAAAAAGAAAAGAAAATGTTTATAGTGTGCTTGCAATACTTTGAGTGCCCTATGAATCTATATCCAGAACTTCTGCTCATAAAGAACCATGTAACACTGGTAGACACCAGACCTTCTGTCACAAAACAGTAAAGTTAAACCTTCCACTAAATGCCAGACTGAGCATAACATTTTGTGCTTTCTAAAGAAGGTATATACCCTGAATAGAAAGACTGACCAAATCCTCTTGTAGTGTTATGGTTGCCTCTCATTACCAGGAATTGGAGAGAAAAAAAAAAAAAAAATCAAGCCAAAATGAGAGAACAGACTAAGCTCTTTGACAGAAAGCGATGACAAGTATTGACAAGAATCTGCTGTGCATTTTATAGAAAGACAACCTTACTATTTTACTAAGAACGCTTAGTATCAGATGATTAAGTTAAACAAAAGAAATATAAAAAAAATTATAAAAAAAAAGAATTTTCAACATCAGAACTTTAAACGAGATAACAGACCTATGCTCTAAAATAAAGCAGCTGATCGGTCATATGAGACTACAAGGAGGCATAACTCGTTTCCCATGTGGATCTCAATATAGTTCAGTTTTGAGATGCTGACAAAGTTGTTCAGCACACGTAAGAACGCTGTTGGCCTACAGCAGCATTTAGCAGTTTTCCCAGTAGAAAGGCCTGCTTCTCTTCAGGTAGCACCTATAATGACAAAAAAAAAAAAAAAATTGTAACAAACTGCAAAAATTCAAATAACCTTAAAATGATTAACAAATAGGTACTTGCTTTCATCATCCGAATCAAAACCAAAGAGGGATGTGCATTTATCCTTGTGTGTTTGCAGCTCTTCCTCACTGTTGAAACACTCAAAACATCGAGAGCAACGTTGCCTGGTAGGAAGTATTTCTGGCTTTGACACTGAGCCCAATAACTTTGAGCCTACCTGGGGTTCCTTCCAGCGTTTTGGCATGCTAATGTACGACTCATCTAGATAAGCTGAGGGAAGGGGTCGAATGAATTGTTTATTTGCAGGTTTTCCTGAAACCAGTGGTTCCTTCTCTTTAACGACTGGCTCTGAAGTTTTGGCAGAAACTTCTTTGTTACTCTCACTGTGCCCATTAACAAGGCTAGGGTTCTTGCTACTGTAGCTAACAGAACTTTTATTGAGGACCAAAGGCTTTTCATCGTCATCTTGATTTGCAGATGTAGGGCCCTTGCACTTGGCTGCATCCTGAATCGGTTGATTGACTGAAGAATTTGCTACTGCCTCCATACTACCTTCCAGAATTTGAGGGCCTCCATGCCTTGTTGGTTCAGAATCTTTGGGGAATGAATTTATTCCCAAATTTGTATCCAGCCTATAATGTGTTCTTTCATGCTTATAAAGGAGCAAAATAGTCTCAGTTTGCATACAGCAACCAGGAAAGCAGCACATCGCTCTCAATGGATGATGGACTAACATGTGCTCACTTAGTTCTGTACGTGTTTGGTACCTTTCCTTGCAGCCGAAATGGTAGCATGGGAACTTCAGCTCACCTCTGTGGCATATCACATGGTCAAAAAAATGCTGGGGATTATATATCTTTCTGCAACAGAAAAGACATTTTTCCTTTCCAAAATTGAAAAAGAACAGAAGCGCCTTCTTGTCGCCATGGTGGTGTGACAGCACATGTGAAAGGACAAGGATTGACTTGGCAGTGAATGTACAAATCTCCACAGGGCATCTAACATGTGTAGATGCACCAGTTCTTTTTCCCTGGAATGGTGTGGAAGGCTGTTTGGACTTCGTCTGAGACCCATTTTTATACCCCACCATATTTATTTCCTTAAATTCTGTATTATTGTCTATGGGTTCCTGATTCTCAGAACTGTCTTCTGGACTAATTGTTATCTTCCTCCTTTTTATAGCTTCTCCACCCTCTTTTTGGTCTCCAGGAGTAATCATCATCTTTTTTAGCCTAGAGATCACAATTTCATCTTTTCTTTTAATTTTTGACTTGCTCTTGTCTTTTCTTTGTCCTACATTCTTAGATTCAGCCTTGACACCGTCTTTCTGACTTTTTGCACATTCTGCATTCTCAATTTTCTCTTGGTTGTCCTGTGGTAATGATGTCTCAATTTTCTCTGGGTTGTCCTGTGGTAATGATGTCTCAATTTTCACTTTGTTGTCCTGTGGTAATGATATTTCAATTTTCTCTTTGTTGTCCTGTGGTAATGATGTCTTAATTTTCTCCTTGTTATCTTGTGGTAATGATGTCTGATTTTTTTTATTTGAGGTATTTGTCTCAGGCACACTCTTAACTTTCCTTTTCTTTCTGATTACTCCATTTACCCTATGAGCTGAGTTTCCATTGGAATCCAACTGTTTGTCCTCTGGAGTTTCTGCTTGCATAGCCTTTGGTCTCTTCCTTGCTAGTTTCACATTGAAAAACTTTTTGTTCTCATCTGTGGGCTGAGATCTCTTTGCTAAAACCCTCCTTAGACATTTTGTCTTCATCTTGCAAACCTTCTCCTTTTGTTCATCTGATGTACTTAGAGGATCTGAATTCTTGACCAACCTTGTCCGCAATCTAACCTTAGGCTCTGTGCTTTGCCCTTCCTTGTGCAAATCTGTGATGTTCAAACTGCAGTTTAACCTCATTTTGAGGTTTCTAAACTTATTCTTCACCCGTTTAAACAGTCTCTTCTGGGCACATTGTGAGGCAGTCTCTGTGGTATTCTCAGTTTCACTAAAAAGCCCATTAGACTTTTTCAGTTCCTGAATGTGCACTTTAAAATGGATTGAAGGGCTGCGCCCATGAGTGTAACGTTTGTGACAGAACATGCACTTTCTGTCAATTCGGTGATGCCACAGTGCATGACGTAGAATGTGTGGGTTTTTGGTTTCTTTATTGCAAAGGCTGCAGGTAACTGAAAGCTGGCAACTTGCATCACTTGCGGGGATAAGGTCAGAGACTAGACCATCAGCAGCTGCATGCATATCTGGCGATGTCTCCACAGGCCTTGATGGCACCACTGGCACCTTCGTCCTCTCAGGCACAATTTTAGTGTCAAGAGTGTCAATCTCAGTTTCACTAAAAGTAGCCACTGTTCCATCAGGGAGCATTGTCTCTTTAGTAAGAACTGGAGGAGCATCCTCATGAAGAACCGTCATGTTTTCTGGCGTACTATGCGGTACAGGAATGGTGTCAGCTCTGGTGTCAGTTGTCACTTCTGGTAAAACATCAACATTAATATTTTCTGCAGGACTAATAGGACTGTAAGGACCATAGTCTGGATATTTAGTGTCTGCATCTTGGGGAACTGATAACTCGCTATTTACTTTTGGATCTTTAACTAGCTCAAGAATGGCTTCAACTGGAGTGGTTGTTTCCACATTTACAGCTGGGATTGGTGTAACCATGCTTTCCACTGCATTTCTATCCTGTGTTGCAGCTCCCAAGCTCTCTGTAGGTTCAAACTGTTGCCCAGCAGACTGTGGTTCTTGTTTGGATTCATTATGGTCCAGATGAAATTCTTTATCTCGATCTGATATTACTTTACAGTCAACTGATATTCCTTCAAATTCAGCTTGTCTTGAATATGTGTGGAATTTTCGAACCATAGAAAGGCCTTGTTCCCGAAAAACAATCTCCTCCTGTACCATGAAGTCTTTTTTGGTACATGGAGTAGATTCTGCTGATAGTAACTCAATAAGAGACGCATTACTGTCAGGCCATTTCAAATTCTCTTGAATTTTGTTAGTACTGCTTTCAGTGATATTAAGTGTCTCAGTGGAAATCTGTGAAGTCTGAACATCAGAAGAGAGGTCAACTTCATTATCAGGATATGAAAATTTCATTGTCACTTCACTGATTGCTGTCTCAAGTGAAATCTCCGTCAAAATATTTGACTGCTTTGGTTTCCTTCCTGGTTTCTTGGCCTGTCGAGGTTCACTATTTTCTGCTTGGGCAGCTAACTGGTCCAAAAGCCATTGTGGTTTCCTGCCCTTGCGTTTTAGAGTGTGCATCTCTGTCTGTCGGGAAAGTAGTCTCTGACGCCTGCTATTAAGTTGCCTGGTGTGATTCTTTGCCAAGTCCAATTGCCTATATGAACGTCGAACTGGAGAGGCTTCTGAATCTTTAACAAGATGTGTCCCTGGCTTCCGCCCCCGCCTTTTGCCTGGAGGTTTGGAGGATGCTTCCTCTGAGGCAGAATTAACCCATGTTTTCAATGACTCTGCTTCCTGGTCATTTCGGTTTGTATGGTTCTCTGCTTTATTTATAGTCCTGTCTGTGTTGTCTGTGTGACACTGACAATATCCTTTCATACAGTAACTTGGAATCCACTTGTCCTTTTGCATGATTTCACATAAGGCTGCTTTACCGACCTTATCACTCATTAGCTTCAGACAGTTTGCCTCGATGTTGACAATGCTCCAGAACTCAGGGTCAAAGTACAGGTCTTTTTTCAGGATCTGGAGAACCTCAAAGCGTACACTGTTACCCACAAGACTGGTGTCTGCATGATACTCTTGATCAGGGTGAGTATATAGGAGGAACACATTCTTGTATGACTCAACAGTTCTCTCTAGGAAGAAAACTAGCAGCGCACAAGCCCTACAGACCTCAAGGTCATTAGGAAGTAGGTATGCAATGGTTTTGTAGATGAGGGACTTGGTGACTGGATCATTCTTAAGGTCAGTCTGCAAGGCTCGTACACAAAGCTCCAAACAAATCCCAAGACCATCTTTTCCAAGCTGAAAATAAATATTTTATTGCCATTATTAAAAGATCATTCCATACATATTGACATATATTTGCGTAGATTTTTGTCTATGTCTACAATTACAAGTTTAATACAATACATTATGATAAAATAATATCTTACCTCTGCCAAAATCACCTTCATAAATGGGAAAATCGCTTTTACGTTGGTGACTGACAATATCATTCCTCTACATTCCTCTAGGAAGTTCTGTTTAGAAAGGTTCAACCGCAAGTAGAGTCTGCTCCATATGAAGACCAAATCCCTTTAAGGAAAAAAATAAATATGGAAGAAAAAAAGGAGAATGTAACTTTCTGCAACCTCAACACTATCTTCTGTTCAGGTTGTTGCAATAACTGAGTAAAAATATAAAATGCTAAAAAGAGGGGCAATACACTGAAAACAATTCCCCTTCTTAATGTTTATGGAGCTATTGAGACCCACCAAAGGTAGTACATGTCTCCAATCTGGAGCTTCTGAGATAGGAAGCCTTTACTCAGCATCAAAACAGTCTCATCGTTCTCTTCATTCTCCATCATGCAGAGTATCTCTACGGCATCCTTCCCATCGATATCTGCCATCTTTAGAAAAGAAAACGAGTGTAATTTTTGACATTGCTCATGAAATATGGTGATCTTACATTATCTCAGAAAAAAAAAAAAAAAAACATTTTTGGAGTCACAATCTTTCAAGTCTCTCTATATATATAGCTTCAGCTGTGTTTATATACAAACAACACACTACGTTCCTATACCTGAACAGACCACAAAAAAGCGTATTTCCTGTGATATTGCATTGACTTACAGTAAAAAATATGTAATAATCATGGAGACAACTGCATGCCCTATACTTTGTATAATTTATTTTATTTATTTGTTTTTTAAACTTATTTCAGAAAATTTATTTGTTCAGTTAAATGGCCAACTTCACACTAGCCCTCTTATCAATAAAAGAGCTGATTGAAAAAGTCACTGCAGCTCCAGTTCCCATAGACCATTTCAACAGCTATTTGTTATTTTAGGGAAGTGACATCTTTGCCCCTTCAAAACATTGGCGTAAGGCGCTTAATGAACAGTCGGATTGCGATTATTTAAACCTGTAATTAAACTACAACTAAGCTACTTTAGAAAATGAAAAAAACAAACAAAAAAAAAACGATGTGACGCCTGGAATGCAGCAGTAAAGTGAGAAGGCTGGATTCCAACTTACAAATAGGTTATTCAGCACACATTCTGATTGTCAAGTAATTGTTTGATTGGTAAGTAAATTACATTTTCCATTGAATTATTTACAATTCTTTACATTAAAGAGATACTCGACTTTTTTGGAAATAGGCTCATTTTATAACTCCTCCAGAGTTAAACTATTGAGTTTTAACATTATTGAATCCATTCAGCTATCTCCGGTTCTGGCGGTACCACTTTTAGGATAGCTTAGCATACACCATTGAAGTGGACAAGACCATTAGCATTAGGGCTGGGTAATAAATATCGATTTCTCGATATTAATCGATTCTCATTTTTACAAACCGATATCGATTCTTAAATCTCAAGAATCAATTAGCCATCCTGTTTCATTTGAATGAATGGAACATTGTATCGCGGCTGCGCGCATCCAAAAAAACAAAACAAAAAAACAAACAAAAAAAACGCAATAATCTCTGTCCTTTGTTACTATTGATACGAAACAAAGTAATTTTCAAATTACATCCATTTTCATTAGAAATTCAAAAACATAAATAACGTTTTGGCGCTGTGGCGTCAGATCGCTCTGGCGCAGCTCAAGAGAAGCAGCAGCGCTGATCTCTCTTCCGGCTTAATAATACCAGCTACAGCGCAAAATAAACATGAATGAGCATCTGAAAGTGTGTTAAAAGATAGAGTACAACTTATCGAAATCCATATCACGTCACATTGATTCGCTCAATCAGCGTTTCAACCGTGGAAAGACGTCAGTTAAACAGCTTGTAATCAATGTCATGTATCGTCATATTTACCTCAGAAAACCCACATTAACTCGTTAGTCAGCTAGAAAAAAATAACTCTAGAAAGGAGCATTTATACACCATATGTACACGATATACACATATATACACCATATGACATATGCATTATAATATTAATATTCTTCAATATTTAATGCATATTTGAATAAATCTGGCAAGTTTTTACTAATGCTCACACTCGGTCTCTCGCGCGCACTGTCACTCAGTCTCAGACACAACCGGTATCTCTCGCATGCTGTCGCTGTCGTGTCACACTCAAGGTTTTTCTCTATGTCAAGGAAGGATCCTCAGAAGCCATAATTTCGAGGATGCTATCCTTCGCGCACTTGAGCGTGCTTGGGCACTCGTCTCTCTTGTTCAGTTCACTTTGCGCACTGGACCTCGTGGAGGCACGTGATCAGACAGTGGTTTACAGAGCGCTAGATTGGCTTTGCAAAAAAAAAAAAAAAAAAAAGAGCGTTCTGTGAATGGAATGACGCATTTTAAATATCGCTCGGTCACGCGAATTTGATCGTGGAAAGCCAAAATCGTGATCGTGATTAAAATTCGATTAATCGTGCAGCCACCCAGATAGCAAACTGACATTGAATCAACGTGGAAACGACGTCTCTCATGACATTGAAACAACGTTGATTTTGCTCATCGAATTAACGTTGAACCAACGTCAGACGCGGCATTCTTCAAAGCTAAATGAAAATCGAAAATTGGTTTGCTTTCATAACGTTGAAACAACGCGTTGATTTCAAGTTGATTTTCCGTTAGTTTTGAAAGAATGACGCGTCTGACGTTGGTTCAACGTTAATTCGATGAGCAAAACAATGTCAGATCAATGTTGTTTCGATGTCATATTTCCACGTTGATTCAATGTCAGTTTGCTATCTGGGCAAAAACAATTCCAGGGACGCTTGTTTGCTGTACCAATTAGTTATCAATTATGTATATCTCAGCCATATGCATGGTATTGTTTATAGCAGGTTGAAATAGACCTCTCACAACTTCCGTATTTGGGACCGGAAATACGCAATTGTCGTGGTAATCTTCTTCCGCTCCATTCATAACAGATAGCGCCGCAGGCAACTAGTGAGTTGTTGCGTACAGATCTTTTTTTGTTATTCCCAAAAGCATCCATACCTGTCGTTTTCATTCCTTCCCTCGTCAGTTCCCTGTCGATGAAGTTCGACGGAAATGGATTCAGGCAATCTGGCGGGATGTTATTGATCCTGTGATCTTCTGTACTTCTCTCATGTCACCATTCACTAAGCCGTCATTGTTTGTTTATTTTTTATGTTTTATGATTTGTGTATTTTGAAGTAACGTTAGTTCATGCTCAACTTTATTAAGATATTTGTATCCAGCGGAATAGGCACATAAAAATATACACCACAATATAAATAAGAACACACAACAGTGGGCTACATATAAATTTAAAATATTAATATATACCATTCTGAGTATTTAACAATCTGAGTGTACAAGGGATAAATTAATATTTGTATAAATTGTTCTTCATCTTTGATCGTTCTATAGCAAGAGCAGTGCAAAAAATTCATTACCCCTAGAATAACTGTTGAATAAAACTGACAGACTTCTTTCTGGTATTCACATCAAAATGCAGTTTATTGTAAATAATACTCCCTAAATATTAATAACTTTCCACACACTCCACCTTCTTACCTTTAATGAACGTATATTGGGAAGAATGAGCTTCAGTTCTGAAATCAATATCATATCTTTGGTCATTCGGTCAATATCATTCTCTCCGTTTTATTTTATGCATCCTTCTTTTGTCATACGATGTCCTGTCATTTTATTTTTAATCTTTAAAAAATATAAGTAACCGTTCCGAATTCACTCATTTGATCCATGGTATTGCTTGGACACACATCAACATCATAAAAACCGGCGCATAAGATAAGTCATAAATACATTTATCTGATTGGCTTACAGGTAACCAATGATTTTAAACTTCAGAGAAGCGCCCCCTAGCCAGAGAGAAAACACTTCTCTATTATGCCATTCCAGACTCTGTGTACAAAGCAAAGTGAAGTAGCAGAGTCTGGTATTACCAGGCTACTAGTATGTGACATTGAAACATACAATAAAAAAACAACTATTTGCTAATGAGTTCTGTGTTTTTTTCCCCCCAAAATATTTGTATTTATAACAGGAATTATTGTTCATAAGTTACATTTACAAGTAAATAAGTCAAATGTTTCACTGTACTGAAAAAATTGAAAAACAAATCAATGACTTAATTATAAAAATTATCTAAATGCAACTATAACTGTTCTTATAAACCAGTATAAGTCTTATAAATATATGATGCGATCTAGGAAAACCTGTCGGATGTCGTGCTGGTACGTTTTCAGTAAGGTCTAAACACAGATGGAATGTCAGTATTTTGTCAAAATTTTGTTTTTTAAATAAATGTATTATTCTATAAAATCTTGTTTATCATGTCTGAATATATCTTGGGAAAATTCACTAGTTTAGTGCAGAAAAATAGCGATTTATACTGGCAAGCTGAAAACGTCTTTCTCTTTAAGAACACGTATGGCGCAGCAGAGGGGCAAAAAACAACAAAAACTCTTCTTCTCTTAACACTACAGAGACAGTTTCGCCTATCAAAATAATCCATGTCCTGCCAGTACTGTGTAAACTACAACGGCACGCAAGTTTTTATTTATTTGTTTTTATACAGCATAATCGTGTGGTGTGATGCGGAGCACAAGAGAACAACAGAGTCTGAAGCTGCTCGCTTAAAAAGACCTTGCTCACCTCTCAATCGTCCAATTTCAAAACAGTTTTCACAGAATGAATTTTGAGTTTGAAATGATACCTAATCTATGATGATTACTAAAATATGTGATATGGAAAAAAAGGCAATAGAAAAAGAGCACCAGTCATCCCTCTAGCAGGATGTGACAGTTAATTTAACCTGTTCTTCTCAAAATTCTGTTTCTGAAAATCATTGCAATCAGCCGACTTCAGATAACCACAACTTTTGTTACAGACAAACGATAAAAGAAATAAAAACAGATATGTTTTATATGTGTACTGTAAAGTCAATGTCAAATTTCACCATGTGGTGGGTTTTCCCAGATCGCATCACATATATTTAGTAATACTTAAATATAAAAAAAAAGGAGCTGTAATTCATTATAAGCATGGACTTCATAGAAAGTGTTACCAAAAGCTCTATTAATACATAACCTAACAGGGCAAATCATTTCAAGGCAGGACTTTAATGCACAACTAGTAAACACAAAAAAGTCCAGAAAATTCAGAAATCCTATTTACCACAATAGGGAACGGAGAATCTTTGCTATTGTTCTGGTATGCAGACTGCCCAAAAAAAAAGTGGACCGTGTATATGGTCTGTTTCACACCAAGATAATTTCTCACTCACCTCCTTGTACAAGCGCTCACAAAGAGAAGCTCTCCGAAGGCAGATGAGGTAGGCTTGCTTGAAATAGAGATGCCTCCCTACAACAGAGTGCCGGATGCATCTCCTTGTCAGTGCCAAGGCCTCCGGAAGCCTCTCACATGCCACCAGGTATCGCAAACGTAGCTCAAAGAAAATGGATACTTCTGAACTCAGATACTTGTCCACTGCGAACAAAAACAGCAATTAAAAATGATAATAATCAACAGTTTAGGAAATCCAAGGTAAAGATCACTTGATCAACATACACTCCTTTTAAACAAAAGCTCGATACACTTACCATCTTCTTGTGGTAGCTCTGAATCCTTGAGAATAGCCTGAAGTACAGGGTTTGCCCATGGCCCTCCATCTTTAATAATATGCCTAACCTGCAGAAGGTAAACATTCTGGTGCCTTACCAGGCTCGCATAGCAGTCCTAGAATAGACAAGAAAAAACATGAAGCCATATAAATGGAAACATAAGAGTGACAACAAGATAACCACTGAAAGGTTAAAGGTAGGGCTGGGTATCGATTCACATTTCAATTTCGATTCGATTTCGATTCACAAGCTCTCAGTTCGATTCGATTTCGATTCTCGATTCAATTTTCGATTTCGATTCCTGATTTGATTCCTGATTCGACTATAATGAAGATGTAATACAAATCCTATATTTATAAAAAAGAACAGTGGACATAAGTTTACTAGTGGTTAATTAATACAAGGAAATTAAGAGCCATAAACCTGTATATAAAACTCTTTTTATTTTAGGTACACTAAATGCATACAGAGAATAAACAGGATTTTGATGCAATATGCAAAAAAAGTCAGAACAGTCGCACAGCTTGATCAAACAGTATCATGTTATTTTATGTTTAAGATAGATATAGATAAATAAATATATAAATATTTAGACTTTTTTTTTTACATTGATCTTACCTAAATGGTAATGTAATTTTTTGTTTATTTTTGTTTTAAGAGTTTATGTATGGAAGCTTGATTTCAATCTTTGAATTAAATTGAAAAAAGTAGCACAAATAAATACAATAGAATAAAGACACAAATTAAGAGACATTTTGGGGTAGTTTTTTGGGTATGTCAGAAATACTACAGAAACTGAATAAAGTAATCCAATGTAAAATAACACTGGATAGTCTTTTTAGTCCAGACTGAATTAAATACAAAGGCTATTAATTCTGATTGGTTACAATTAATACTATATTCTGTTGTTATGACAACAGAATTAATGACTGACACAAATGGCTGCGTTCACTTTAAGAACTAGTGCGCGAATCCATTACTGTTTCATTAACTTTCTGTCACACGCGTTTAATGCTAATTTAAGACATTACCGACTGTCTTTAGGAGGTTACTCACCAAGACCAGAGTTTTGACATAATGTCGCGTGTTTTAACTGTTAAAGTGATATAATCCAGGGATAAAACTTTTGTTTCTGGCGAGCTGTTTGTGAGGCAGATTTAGGCTGTAACGTTACTGTACACGCAGTGAAAGACATCTCTGAGAGTGCGCGAGCACGGGATGGTTTAACATTGCTTGTAAAACTCAAAAAGACGTGAAAATGATAAACGTTAGTTACGATCATAGGTTACGATGCAATGCTGGTCCGATTGTTAAGTGAATATTCCGTCATGTCACGACTCCTAAACGCGTGTGTGTATCGACAGCTGCAGCGCTTGGCGCTTGATTAGTGCAGAGAAACGAGAAGATGCAGCACCGCGTCCGCGAGCCCTTTATATGGAAAAAATCGATTCCGGCCGTTGAGAATCGATTTTGAATCGAACACATTTCTAAAAAACGATTAATCGAAAAATCGATTTTTTTGCCCAGCCCTAGTTAAAGGACAGAATTCTACATGATACTTCCCAAGAATAATAGGATTGATGTCATGTGATTACCTGGAAGGAGTCTAGAATATCTTTTAAAGGATGCTCAATGAATTCATCTTTTCCAAAGAACAACAGCAGTTCAAAGATACTCCTGCAAAAAAAAATGTCAAGACTGTAATTATTCACTTTAAAACCTGTTGCACCAATAAACAATACGGTAAGCATTTTAGCCACTTTTATATCTTCAGACTAGATTAGTTTTATATTAGGAGGTGGAGTAATGATATAGTTGGAATCACTCCACTGGACGATATAATTTTAATTTTATAGTTATCTTTATGTTTGTAATTTTTGATGTGGACAATCGTTATAGTCCGATAACAACTTCATATAGTTGAATCGATGGTCTAAAGGCCGATCAGAAGACCCGATCAGACAATTTTTCTATGTGCAAGTAAACAGTAAAATACAGTCTACTGTTGCTAAACTGCAGGACATGCTATGTAGCACTGATCCACCTCAAATATAAATCAAAAATATCTTCATTTGTGTTCCGAAGACAAACAAAGGTCTTACGGGGTTGATACAGCATGGGGGTGAGTAATTAATGACTTAATTTTCATTTTTGGGTGAACTAACCCTTTAAGTTTTACAGCACCTGTCAAGTCAGCATGAAACGGAAGAACTTGTGATAGTCTTTTCTTTCCTATTGTGACATATATAAAAGTGAAACTGCTTCTAGAACAAGAAGAAATGTAGGGTATGTTTGTTATAGATTGATGGAGGGATGACTTAATTCTGTAGGCCAAAACCCGGAAACGAGTTTGCATTTTAGCCCTTTTTTTGAATGAGTTTTTGACTAAATGTTTGAAATAAGGTCTGTGGTGAACACAAACTTAAGATTCTTTCATGTTTTATTCTACAATATAAAATACATCATTAATATCCTCTTGTGATTTGCCAAATCTTTTACTTGTCTTGTAAAATACAGTTGCTAACAAGTGGCTAAATCACACCATCAGCAGAACAGGTAAACTCATCCCTAGTTCGCTTTCACAGCCTCATTGCCTGTATAATCACACTCTTGCAAACTATTACAACTCAGACTTTCAGGGAAAATGTTTTTAAATAAAGACTGAAAGAGTAGCTTAGTGACGGTGACATTCAACTCATGCGACCATGGTGTAGCTCGTTTATTGCCTACATTTAGTTTTGACTTCTGCCGATTGTATAAATTTATGATTATCACAATGTCAAAATGTGTAAGAATCAGAAGTTTTCGGCGCACACTTGCTCTGGTAAACACATCATCAGGGAAGTTGATGCAAGAGAGGTGGCAAGTTAATTTCGATGAAAGGGTTAGTTCACTAAAATGTTTTAATTCTGTCATTAATTACTCACGCTCATGTCATTCCAAACCCGTAAGATTTTTGTTCACCTTCCGAACACAAATTAAGATATTTTTAATGAAATCGGAGCGATTTCGGTCGGTCTATTGACGGTCTATGACTCCAAGCAACAACCATTTCGACTGGATATTTTATCAAAATATCTTCATTTGTGTCCCAAAGATGAAAAAAAAGTCTTACAGAATGTCTTAAAGAATTAATTTAGAATAAATACAAATATATTGTCTTTTTTCTATATCATGGCAAGAGCAGAAGTGCAGACTCACAGGGCCAGACTACTCAGCGTGTAGCGTACATGCTCACAATCCGGAGGAAATGATGCCACACCCTGGACAAAAGAGCACAGGGCACTCCGCAACACCTGGAGTTGGGGAAGAGGCACTTGCCATCGCCCGGTTTGCTCCACCACCAACTAAAAGAAAAAAGAGAGACATTTAACAGAAATAGTAGAATGACTAAATATAATACTATCACTATGTGCTTCTAAAAATAGAAAGCATTTCTGTCAGGTGACTTCTAGAGTTTGTTTATAATCATGGGAGTCATTGCCATTCATGTCCATGACAGGATACAAATTACGAAACAAACATAATTCAAACTTTCGTAAAATGGCATGAAAAGTTTATTTTTTAAAAGAGGAGGCTGGATTAATTCATTTAGCAGTCATTTCATTCGAAATTAAAATCTGCTGGATAACTGTCGGCAAGAAACCAGAGGTTTAAAACCAACCTTTACAGAGATTGGTTATTATCAAACACTGCTAACACTGACAGCATCGAGTTATTCTTTCATTTAACACCCTACAGTCGTGCATAATGATTTCTCGGAGTAGGTTTGCCCGTTTAAGGTTGCATAAAATCGCTGGATAATAAAATAGCACGAAGAGTACAGAAGCTTAAATCTTCTGCAGACTGCTTGTTTTGGAATGCAACTTAAGAATGCTAACCGTTAGCCACTTTAGGCTAATGGAGCTAACTGAGAGAAAGTGACCGTACGTCCTCTCTAAATCGTGATTGGAAATGATCAATAGCTCTATTGAGATCTACTCCTACGGTCTTTTTAAAACACCTGTAGACAGAAAGGTAAAATACTGTGTAAATGTTGGGCCACGGTGGCTGTACACTGGGGGAGGGGAATCTGCTGACATGCTGCTAACACTGGTTAGCACATCTCTGTTTGCTTTTTAAAAAAGCTTGCAAATGCTTTCGTCCATTGCAGTGTCATCTTACCTCGCAAAACCTTTCACAGTACGTCTTGCTCTGAAGTCCGCGTTCGTCGTTTGCACTAGTCTTTAACAAAGTCTCCAGTTCTTTCTTAAACCTGTCTAACTCCAATTCACTCTCTTCTTCCGCCATACTGCTTGTCTAAACCAGCGCGTACAACAGAGACCACGAATGTTAACGTGAGTGCAAGGACAGCCCATCGGAAGCATTTGATTGGTGGAACGGCCTGTCAGTTCCTAGTGAGCATTAAATGTTTCCTTTGTTATTGGCCGATGACCCCTTCGATCAAACGGTAGTCCGAGTGTATCCTCACCCTGGATATTTGATTGGTTAGGTAAGAATCTTAATATTTTTTTTTCTGTTTTGTAATAAACACACCAAAACAAATAAGTTGTCAAAATCGCTTTAATCGTCTCTCTAATTAACTAAGTTTTCCAAAAACTCACACTCCCATATTCCTGCCTCCAACATGTTTAACGATCATGGGCGTTTTATATAAGGTTTATGAAATATAAGATGTGTAAATCATAGGCCGAAATGTAAATAACGGAGTAATTGATGATTCACTGTACCAATAATGAATAGTTTAATAATGAAAAGCCATCGTTATCAGTACAGCGTGCTAAACAAACCAGTAATTAAACTGATTGATAATCAGCCAATCACTGATAGATAGTAATCAATTCAATTCATGCTATTAGAGCAATATAACTTCTTAAAGGAGCACAAGGGAGTTTTTGTTGTCGTGAATCAAGGCTTTTAAAATAATTGCTTTCTTGCACATAAGCATTGTGTACTTGTTTCAGAATTTTGTCAAAATCTTTTTTGTTTGATTGGTGTGGGTGTTTTAAGTTGCAAGCTCAATATCATTGGAAGTTCTCAGGTAAGAGATGTTTATCGTGGAGATTTTTGTTACAGACAGGTGAAAATATTTCTCTTTGTAACATAAGAAATTTTGCTTAACTTTTCAATAAATCAGGTAGCTAGAATCATCCCTGGGTAGGTCTTGCTGCTTTAAAGCGGGTCAAGCTGGAGTTCAGCTTTTACCTGGTTGGTTAGGTCCCCATCAAGACCAAAGAAGTGGTTGAAGCCCTTCTAAAACTACCTGCTATAACTACCTATAACCATGGCTATAATATGGTTTGACTTCTCCTTCTTCTTGCAGACATGTCTACTGGATTACAGCTTCTTGGAACCACACTAGGCATTCTTGGCTGGCTGGGCATCATCATATCGTGTGCGATTCCTCTATGGCGTGTGACTGCTTTTATTGGCAACAACATTGTGACAGCGCAGATCATGTGGGAGGGACTATGGATGAACTGTGTGGTTCAGAGCACGGGTCAAATGCAGTGTAAAGTGTACGACTCCATGTTGGCTCTTCCTCAAGACCTACAAGCCTCTCGAGCTATCCTTATTATTGCTTCCCTTGTTGGTCTAGTAGGCATATTTGCAAGTTTTGCAGGTGGTAAATGTACTAACTGCTTGGCAGATGGTTTCGCAAAGGCTCGGGTTGCTGCAGTAGGAGGGGCTGCCTTTGTCACTGCAGGAGTCTTGGCTTTGGTGCCATCTAGTTGGACTGCCCATAGGGTCATTGAAGACTTCTACAATCCTTTAGTGGCCCAAGCTCAGAAGAGGGAGTTGGGAGCAGCCATCTTTATCTGCTGGGGGGCAGCGGTTCTCATGCTGGTTGGTGGAGGCCTTCTCTGCAGTTCTTGTCCAAAAGGAAGGCTGTCCGGTGGGGGGCGGTATGTTCCGGCTTCTCAAAATGGAAGAGCGCGCTTGGAGTATGTGTGACTGCAGAATGTTTGACTTCTGACAACTGATGTCTGTTTTCCCTCCTTTTAAATGTCTGTTTGTGTGAGCTCCTGTAAACTATGAATTTTAACCTGTTGCTCAATTACTTACTATTGAGCTAATAAAATGGAAGTTTTTATCCAACAGATGGCAGTATTGGTTTTGTAATGACTTGAATTTATCTTATTTTTTTTCTGCTTCCTTCAGGGTGGGCTAGCTAGATTATGGCATTGGTAAATTTGGCAATGGTTTGTGTTGTATTCTGCCAATTCCATTCAGTAACCGGTGCTTTAGGGATTTTTTTTTCTTTTGTGAAATGAAAAACAAATAAAATTGCAGTTTTTAATATACTCTGCCAATGACTTCTGAATTCCAATTAATAACCTGTGCTTTTGGGAATTATTTTTGTCAGTTTGCAAAAGACAAACAAATGAAATTGCCATGACTAGACAAAGCTTAATATAATTCCCTTTCATCTCAGTGGCAGTTGCTCTGATGGAGCAGGACTCATTTAGTGATTTGAAGTTAGTGATTTGTTTTTCTACTAAAAGATAAGATGGCAACCTCCATCTGTTTTAAGAGAAGTAGTTTCTCAAGAAGGTTGTAATTCAGGTAAAATGTTATCCATTATTGTTTACAGCTACTATACTAATGGCATAGAACTGTGAATGCCTGTTCTGAAAATGTGCCCATTGTTTTATATATACATTCCTTAAGCAGACCGCAAATGTAACACACTCTAACATATACGTTGAATATTAGCAGTCAGTCAATTATGTGACCAACTGTTTTTCAAGCATAAGCTTTTATTTTCATCTTACATTCAAATGGAATATTATCTGTCTTTCACCTGGGATTTTTCTGTGTTATGCATTTTGAGTTAACCTAGAAGATTGCCCTGGGAGAAGGACTGTCTGCCATCTTTGCACATGGCATGGAATGCCAAAGCTGACTTAATTAAAAATTAATACATTAATTTATTTATTAATAAACAAATAAATATATAAATAAATATACAAATAATTGAGTATTTCCTTATTTTTGTATAATTGTATTTTTTCACACATTTATTTTTTTATTTATACATTTCTTTATTTCCACTTTGATTTATTTCCACATTCATTTATGTATTTATGTGTTTACGTCTACATTTATTTATTTTCACATTTATTTATTTATACATTTCTTTCTCCTTATGCTAATGAGGGGGCGTGTTTTAACTCAGACATGAGCAATTAAGCTCAGAGTGGCAGTGCTGAAGCTTTGAGGCCACAGTGACACCTTGTGGTGTGTGACGAAACGCAAGAGGTGTGCGGACAATATCACATTTCAAGTCATGTATATCCCCCTAACTGTATGTAAGGTAGGCTATATAGGGTTAACACACATAGCACTGACCAGAAACTGCACTTCAATGGGTCTGATAGCACACAAAAGTATCCACTATTATTAACAATGTAAACGTGGTGGATAGGGCTGATAGCTTGCGTTTGGCTTGCGTTTATTGTTGATCAGACTCGCACACCAGCACAGAATGCGGAGAGAAACCAGCGCACATTTCACTGACTCTATACGCAAGCATGTTGATCAATGAGTTTGAAACATTCGTGTTTCCTAATTTCGTATGCTTAACTTTTTTAAACGGGAAGTGGTATTTAAACACCTCATTCATTCTTTCGGTACATTTATTCATTGTGGTTTTCTTCCCCCTTTTTTTTAATAAGATGATGTCTATATAACTTCCTAACTGACAACTGAAAATACAGTAGATTAGAGTTACATCATGTAGTTCTAAATACCTTCTACAGAATTGTGTGGCATTCACTGAAAATCACTGAACTGTGTTGATCTGTGCACCAGAAGCTGATGGACCATCCTCCTGCTGTTCTTTCACACTCTGGGGATGGGGATGGGGGATGGGGGGGGGGGGGGGGGGGGGGAGATAAGAGCATCCGTTTATACTTAGATACAATCTTAGATTCTAGGCTACTGTGATATAGTGCCGCATATTCTAAATGGAAGGGTCTGATTTTCCTTGTGTTGTAGACCGCAAAAATACTAACACTTCCTCTGTAGGTCTCTCTGTGGCAGCAGAAACTGTTTCTTCATCCCCATCGTTGTGAAGATGAGCATTTGATTGAGCACATTTTATACTGCTGTTTGTCATAATTCCTGGTGTATTGAGTACTTACAACTGTCTGGGGTTCTGTTGGGACAGGAGGCTCCAAAAGACAGATATTACCATCAGAATCAGTTGGGAGCAACCACAAACCCAACCCAAGGTAAATATGTATTATTATTTTTTATAGGTTTTTGATATTTCTATGTAGACCTCTTATACATTTTATGAAGGCACTTGAATCTTCGGGAGTGACTGGCTCTGATGAAGCCCCTCCTGGAATTCCCTCAGCCAATGACCATCTCCATCTCCATCTCCTCTGCATCTCAACTTCTTCTGCATCTCAATCTCCTCTGCATCTCCATCTCCCCTGCATCTTCATCTCCTCTGCATCTTCATCTCCTCTGCATCTCCATCTCTGTATCTCCATCTCCTCTGCATCTCCATCTCCCCTGCATCTTCATCTCCTCTGCATCTCCATCTCTGTATCTCCATCTCCTCTGCATCTCCATCTCCTCTGCATCTCCATCTCTGTATCTCCATCTCCTCTGCATCTCCATCTCTGTATCTCCATCTCCTCTGCATCTCCATCTCCCCTGCATCTTCATCTCCCCTGCATCTCCATCTCCTCTGCATCTCCATCTCTGTATCTCCATCTCCTCTGTATCTCCATCTCCTCTGCATCTCCATCTCCCTGCATCTTCATCTCCTCTGCATCTCCATCTCTGTATCTCCATCTCCTCTGCATCTCCATCGCTGTATCTCCATATCCTCTGCATCTTCATCTCCTCTGCATCTCCATCTCCTCTGAATCTCCATCTCCTCTGCATCTTCGTATCCTCTGCATCTTCATCTCCTCTGCATCTTCATCTCCTCTGCATCTCCATCTCCTCTGCATCTCCATATCCTCTGCATCTCAATCTCCTCTGCATCTTCATCTCCTCTGCATCTTCATCTCCTCTGCATCTCCATCTCCTCTGCATCTTCATCTCCTCTGCATTTCCATCTCCTCTGCATCTTCATCTCCTCTGTATCTCCATCTCCTCTGCATCTCCATCTCCTCTGCAACTTCATCTCCTCTGTATCTTCCTCTCCTCTGCATCTCCATCTCCTCTGCATTCATCTCCTCATCTCAACTACTAAATTCAAACTTGCTCTCGCTCGTTGGCTGGCGCTGAGCCAGAGACGGACGCAATGCTGTCATTTATCACAACTATTGAGTGTTTTCAACCACATAATGTTTATTTTAGGTTTCAGACATTTAAATACACATAAGTACTAGCAAAACAATGATTTTGAGTTTGTAAAATACACACTGATGTCTATGGAAGCGGCAATAATAATCCTTTCAATTATAATAAGACGACATGTTTTATTCATATCAGATACACATTGTGTAAGTAGCTTAACATATGACCCTATTCTTCTCCCAGTTCACCAGCCACTTACTATCATGTATTTCGTGAGAAGTGGAGGAATTGACGTTGTAAATCCAACAGATCCGATCCCCTGAACTGTAAAACAAATTAAAATAGGGCCGCCCATTGTGCATGGCTCAACTAATGCGATCGTTATAAAGATGTTTAAACAACAAAACACATCCACTTGCACATATTTGACAATCAGAATATCAGTGTTTCATGCTAGCTAATACATTTGTGAATATTTTTAATAAAAAAGGAAAAATGACATAAAAGCAGATCCTCATTCATTCTGCGCTCTATTTTGGTTGTGCTGTGTCATGTGACAAGCAATGACGCGTCACCATGGAAACATTAAAGTGGCAAGTTCTAAATAACGGTCGCCTTGAAAAACTCACGCTGGGGGTTCAGTTACTAGGCCGTGTGTCCACCAAAGCTTTTTCCACGCGCCTGGCGTATGTTTTCAATTGTTTTCAATGGGAGCGACGCGTTTTTTAAACGCCATGAGCGTGACGAGACGCCGAGCGTTTTTTTCACGCTGAAGCGCCGAATGCTCTGCGTTTTTTACTGGTCGCAGAGAGTTGAAAAATGTTCAACTTTGGATAAAATGCAGCGCTCATCACTGTCACTTCTTACCCAGCTGTCCAATCACAGTGGAGGAGGGGCGGGACTCATACCACACTAACCAATTGTCACAACATTCAAACTGTTCTGCGGATATTCTGTATCATAGCAACGAAACGTCTCAACGGAAAAAACGCTGCGCTGCCAAACGCTCTCAAGCGCCCAAAGCACGGGGTTTTCAGCAGAGCGTCTAGCGTTTTCAGCTGGCTAAAAACGCTTTGGTGGACACATGGCCTTAGAATATTTTAAACTTACGTGTGAAAGGGTTAAAAATTCTCATTAGTATTGTAAGAAAACACTAATTTTGTCTGGTCAAAAACAGCTATGTTTTTCAGCACGCTGTTTCAGTGCATATGCCTTTAAATGATAATGAGCTTCGCTCACTCTGCTCCTCTTTACTGTGGGCATGTGGAGAATTGCCTTGACAAAGTTGAGGGTATTTTGGAGAAAGGCAGCAGGAGTCTCTTAGGACACATCTGTGCAACCGTATCAGTTTCAACTGGAGTCGGACCCGAAGCAATGTGAGTGCTGCAAAGAAGTTTGACAATTAAGGATCGAACAGGACGTTTCTGAATGGTTGGTTAACATAATGTCACTTTGATCTATCTTTGTGTACTGGCAGGGTAGAGTAACTTAGTGAAATGTAAGAACACTATGTGTTTACTATTGGCACCGCCAACCCTATCCATAATGCATCCGTCTGTGTATTCAGTAGCTTCGTCCATAGTTTCAAAAAGTTACTGTCAGTGAAATCAAACGCTCTGGCACTGATCTGTGATAGGTCTGTTAGCGCATTAGGTCTAACCCCCTATGGGCAGGTTTGAAAGGGTGGGGACTAGTGCTTGTAGTCTTTACAGAAATCCTCCCCTTACACTTCCTCCAACAATGACATTTACATTTAGTCATTTAACTGACACTTTTATCTAAAGCGACTTACAACAGAGGATTAAACCAAGCAAATCATTGTGAAGACGCAAAAACAACGCAAGAAGTGCTCAAAATACATTGCTCGGAGTAGTGAAATCGTGCTCTAGAGACGGGTAGGCAGGAGGATGAGAAGCTCAGTCTTGAGCTGCAGGTGATGTTCCTTCATCCATGCCGAGATATCTTCCAGACAGCTTGAGATTCGTATGACGTAAAATGATGATTTTTTGTGTCATTGTTGGAGGAAATGAAAAAGGTAAATAGCTTAATAAAATAGAAAATAGATTTTTCTCATCTCAGGGGAAAATGAGACAGTATTGCTCGACTATTTAATAGTATGATTGGATTTCTAACAATGGAAATCCTAATGCAAATGGGTGGAGTGTACCTTTAAGAAATTAGGTTTACTTAATTAGGTAAAATGATGTGTTACTGCGAATATTGTTGTTACTTGTTCATCATTGCGTCAGTGTTTTATTAGCAGTGACTTTATAGCTTCTTGGCCCAAAAGGCAACATAGTGTTTGTCTGTTTAGGGCTAGGCTACTGTAGAAACATAATGGTGCAAAATGGCTATTACAATGTAAGGGGACCCGCAGTGTACAGATTGTAATGGCTCAGTAGCTACTATGCTTTTATGCTTGATGATTGTTTAAAACACAATTTCAATTAGCCTATTTTAAATTGCAGCACCTCTCTGCCCAGTCTGACCCGAGCATATCGCATGGTTCCGTTCTGATGAAGCCCCTCCTTCCGAATACAAACTTAGCTGTGATTGGTTAGCTGGCCCAGTGTGTTGTGATTGATTGGCATCGTCGTGTTTGGGAAATATCATGGCCCATAGCGAGTTCTACAGTCTATGGTTCTACTCCGATGTAAATATTAAGGATATTCATATCAAGGAAATATTAATACATTTTCCGTAAACATTTTAGATACGATGTAATAATTACAAGTTGTGATCCACAAACAACAGATTGTACTGACAAAGTGAGAACTGCACTTTTGTACTTAGTCTGCATTGTGGTTCTAGAAGCTGTTCTCAGGCCAGTTTTAAATGAAGAAGGCTTCACAAAGCCTGAAAAACAAAAACAAAAAACATGTTGTTGTCCAAATGAGTTGTTCATTGTAGTTCTTGGACAGTGGATTATGTTAAATAAAATATATCCCTTTGGAGTAGATTGAACTTTGTAACCTAACAGATCTTTTTTTATGCTCAAACAGCATAAAAGTGAAAAAGCATAATGGACCCCTTTAAGCGTTTGATTCCATGTGAATATTGCTAACTTCAATGGCACATGGGAAATGTTTACCTCGGAGTTGGGCATTTATTATTAAGATGTCACATATTCAAGTTGAAAACAACACTGAAATAGACTAAATAATAACATTGTGAATGATATAAATCATTTTATGAAAAGGATTTCTATTATACTTATTATACTATATTTAGCTGTTCTGTATTTAAAATTATTTAAAAAAATACATAATGTAGCCTACAATCAAAAAAAAAAAAAAAAAAAAAAACATTGCAAAATCATTACTCACTACAGACTTGCTAGCATCTACTAGATCAGTTTTCCCGCAATGTTTAAAATTAGGCTTGGCTTTTCCAATGTCACTTGTGTATCATCTAGAATTTTTAGACTTTTAGTTATTCATGTGCAGGAACTCATAATTTTGATATTTCCAACACTTGAAGGCTACTTAATAATCAATAGTCTCATGTGGGTGGTCCCGCCACACAAACATGTAAACCCAAACCCTCATTCACACATTTGAGAGCCCTCCAAAATAAAAAATAAAAAGAGTCACTGGCAATTGTTTTGTATATTATTTCTTTTCATTCATTCTCAATTTAACTAGGTTAAAACTCATTAAGATTAAAATCTATTTTACAAGAGTGACCAGACCAAAAAAGCAGCTACAATAACATAAACATATACATAACACAAAAACACAATCAAGGATCACAACAGCAAGATACCAAAGGACAAAACACATGATCTGTTAAAAGTAACTTAAACTGATGGAAGCATATTCAGCTTTAAGATGTTTTGTAAATTATTTCGAGCAAAATTATTTTTATTTTTTTTCTAGATCTGTTCGAACCCGAGGAACATTAAGATATAACAAATCATTAAAACAAACAACATTATTAATGTAATGTACTAAAAAAATATTATATATAATATAAATATTTATATTTTCAACAACAACAACAACAACAACAACAAAATATTTCGTCAGTATATAACGCAACTTTTGAATGGCTGTTAATGAAAAAATATATATTTTTTGGATCCAGATGGTGTAGTTACAACATATCAGCAGGGGCTAACTGGGTCATGCTAACCAGCCAAACATTTACCCCTTTTAATTTGATATAACATTCTCTATTTCAAAATACTGAAATGTGAAATCTTTGTGGGGAGCAAATGGGTTGGTTTTACATGCATTCATGTACCAAAGTATTTACAGGCACCACATAAACAATATACTGATGGAATGCCTCTAAAAAGTTGTGTAATTCTTGCGTTAAGTCCGCTTATTTACAGTATGATTGTAATTGTAACTTAGATCTTAAAACTTAGTTGCAGATTTCAACTCCAAAGTTTGTCCGATGAAACCATGTTTTTTTTCCTCCCAGTCATTTTCAAATGACATTGCTGCAACAGAAAGGCAGAAGTTTTTTAAATGCTTTCTTAAAGTCCTCGTTAAAGATGGTGTATATTAGCGGATTTATGAGGGAATTGAGATACCCAAGCCAGGTGAGGAAATCTGCAAGCACAACAGAGGTGCTGCAGGTCAGACAAATATTCACTATCACCTCCTTCAGGAAGAATGGTAACCAACACACCACAAAGGCTCCCAGGATTAATCCTAATGTCAAAGCCGCCCGTCTCTCCCTAGCCCCTGGGTTCCTGCGGACCTTGATGAGATTACCCGACGAGGATGTGCTGCGTACCCTTTCCCCATCTGTTGATGGTTCGGAAAATGACTTCTCAATTGGGCAGAATGTGTCGGGACTGAGGGTGATGTCTTTATCAGAGCTCATTCCTGAAAGCATGACGCTGCTCACTGTCTGTTTGACTAATCGGCTGCTCCCTCGACGGCTACGCAGTGTCTCCGCCGCCTTGTAGATCTTGTAGTAGAGAACCAAAATGAGGGCCAGTGGAATATAGAATGCTCCAAAAGTGGAGTAGACAGTGAAGGCCACATGGTCGTGCTCAATCCAGCAGTCCATGACTTCCCTCTTCCCATCCTTGTTTTCCACACTTGAGGATTTCCTCCACACTAAAGGTGGTAGAGAAACCAACACAGACAGTGTCCACAGAGAAAAAATGGTTATGACAGCTCTTTTATACGTGCGTTTCTGGGAATACGCCACAGCATCAGTGATTGCGCGGTATCGATCAAGTGCAATGGCTGCCAGGTGTAAAATTGAACAGGTGCAGCATGTAACATCAACACCCAACCACAGGTGACACACTATCGGACCGAGAACCCACGTCTCTTCCGCGATGTACACAATGCTGATGGGCATCACTAGAACAGCTACCAGAAGATCTGTCACAGCTAGAGAGCAGATAAGGTAGTTGGCGGGTTGGTGGAGTTTGCGGGTTATCAGGATAGCAGTGATGACCAGGGAGTTGATGGCGGTGGTCGCCACTGCCAGGAAGGAGAGAGTCAGGGAGAGGAGGATCTTGCTGGGACTCATCTGGCTGGCCAAAACATCAGAGAGATCCACAGCTGAGCAATTGCTGGGGTCCATGGTGAACGTATTTGCCATATGGTTGTGTGACCTGAAAGAGTTAGATAAAGCAAAAGAATGAGCAAGAGCAAAAAAAAAAAGAGAAAAAAATAAAAGACATTGACTTTTCAGTTTACATTGATATCAGGGAGTATGAAAAAAATGTCTTAAAGTCCCCGTGAACCGGAAGTTGCAAACGATTTTTCTCCAGTGCTGTGACGTATTTCCAAGTGAAACGGAATATTGAACAGAGGGCAGGGTTTTACTCTAGCGCTCCTCCTCTCCATCTCTCGCTCATAGCAAACTAACGGTTTGAGGGGAGTGGTTAAGCGTTTCCCCACCCAAACTGTGAAGCCTACGTCATCAGAAAAAGAAACCGTTCCAGACCGGAAGTAACTTTTCAGATTTTGATTAAAGATTACTAAGGTAAAACATTTTTTTAATATATATTCACTTGCACGGATTAATTGTTCACCACAAGACTAGTAATATGCGCTAACAAAGTAAATAGGTTCAATTTTGATTTCACGGGGACTTTAAAGGGATACTTCACCTCTGGGCAGATGAATGTGTATTTAATATTGGTCATTATTCAAAGAATTCTAGACATAGCCTGGATGCCAGCCCGAACTCCGCCCACAACATTTTTTGGTCGGGAAGTTCGGTCTGGACTCGATCTATTGAGGAGTAATTATGATCAGACAAGAAAAGTTCGGGCCAATCAAATTGCCAGGACGGGCTTTATACGATGATGGACAGATTATCTGGAAGGACGTAATCATCACGTTATCAAAGAGCGCTTAAGTGGTTTCCCTCAAAGATGACTGCAGCTGGAGAATTGAGATGTATAGATTCCGCTGTCGTGTCTGTTGTAAAATAAATCGACTGCGCATTAATTTTAATAGAGAAACAGAAAACTGCAATCAAGGCATTTGTCGATCGGAAAGATATTTTTGTCGTCCTTCCTTCATGATTCGGCAAAAGTGTAACTTATCAGCTGGCTCTGACGGTCGCTAAGAAGATGGGACGTAATGAAAAGCCTGTGGTCGTTGTGGTTTCTCCTTTGGTCACACTCATGGAAAAGTAAGTAAAAGAAGCAACACTTGTTATTTTACTTCAAAAATAAGTAAGTTCTGTAGTTGACAACTGTATGCAAAGTAGTTCACTTACTGCATTGCTCTGATTGGTTGTAGGTTTATCGACTATCCAATTGAGTGCAGAGTTTTTTTTTCCTGGTTCGGTTAAGACACGCCTCATAATCAAAGCCCTACGGAGCAGTTTCAGACTCACATTCTGACTAGTATGACGAAGTCAGGCTATTCTAGACTGAGAAAAGGCAGAAAATGTATTTTTTTACTCATGTGGTTGAAAGACGACAACTCCCAGAATGCACTTGATTTGCTGCCCTTACGAGGCCACTCCCAAACCACGCCTATCGGTTACAGGCGACAGAATCCAAAAAATGGATACAACTAGACTTGCTTTGATACATCGTGAGTTATGGTGCTAAATGGTGCTAAATTGCATTGTGCCGGGATGTACTAGCCTAATGTATATAACACAACTTAGACTTTCCCATTAAAAATATGACGCAAGTCAGGACCATGTCAACAGAGTAGCTTAGTAGCTCTGCTTATGAACTGTTTTCCTCCAATTGAAATCACTATTTCTCTATCCATACTGTACTAACACTAAAGGTTTATAAAAAAGAACCACAACCAATGTGAGTTATAACTTTTAATTAAAAAAAATAATTAATATTAACACTTTTACACTCAAAGCTCTGCGGATTCAGCGATCTCACCTGAAGAAAATGGCATCGCTGAGATTCGCGACAGCAATAGGACTCTATCTGTTTTCATAGGCGCACAGCGAAAGCACTCACACCACCAGTCCGCCCCAGCTCGGGTCTCGCTCCTTGTTCCTTTATATCCCGCAAATGTTTATCGCTGTATTGCGGCTCATACAGGTAGCCGCGAGCATCAGATTCTCGCCCGCCCCAGCTCGAGTCTGTCTCGCTCCGGCCGCCTCTTGTTCCTCCATCTCCGCAATTGTTTATTGCTGTATTGCGGCTCGCACAGGTACCCGCGAGCATCAGATTCTCACCTGCCCCAGATCGAGTCTGTCTCGCTCCGACCGCCTCTTTTTCCTCAATCAACCGCAACTGTTTATCGCTGTATTGTGGCTCATACAGGTAGCCGCAAGCATCAGATTATCGCCTGCCCCAGCTCGAGTCTGGCTGGGCTCAGGTCTTGCTTCGGCCGCCTCTTGTTCCTCCATCTCCCGCAACTGGCACATACAGGTAGCAGCGGGCATCAGATTCTCACAACAGATCTTCGAAATCCCCTTCTGCTATTTTAACTTCAAAACTACCTTCCACTGTCGTGATTAGCCTACTATACAAACTTTCTACACAGACCAAGAGGCAATAGCCTGTTAGCTTAGCTTCTACAGAAAGATGGCTGACACATGAGTGAGATCCCGCCCCATATGGGTGTGGTGAAAACATGCGGAACACTGGCTGTAGTCTTTAGCCTCTGGCCCAAAAATCCTCTGATGACGCAAAATGACGATTTTTGCGTCATCGGAGGATTTTTTCCAGACTAAAAATTCATTGTTCTCTCATATCAGGGGGATATGAAAGGGGGAAGCACAGTAATTCTAAAATACTACTGGTTTTCTATTGATACAAAGCCTAGTGCTAAATCCTGAAGTATCCCTTTAAAGTAGTTCACTTTGAAATGAAAATTGCCCCATGATTTACTCACCCTCAAGGTGTATATGACTTTCTTTTTTCAGACGAATGCAGTCAGAGTTTTATTAATAAACACCCTGATGCTTCCGAGCTTTATAATGGCAGTGGATTACCACCAACAGTTTGAAGCTCAAAAAAGTTCATCCATCCATTATAAAAGAACAAAACACAGCTCCGGTGGGGTTAATAAAGCCCGACTGAAGCAAAGTGATGATTTTGTGTTCGAAAAATATTAATATTTAACACTACAAACTGATGGTTGCAATCCACTGCCATTGAAGAGCTTGCAAGAGTGAGGGTGTTTATTAATATAACTCCGATTGTATTCGTCTGAAAGAAGAAAGTCATATTCACCTAGGATGGCTTAAGGGAAAATCATGGGGTAATTTTCATTTTAAAGTGAACTACTACTTTAAATCAGATAAACCATGACTCCAGTGAATTGGTGTTAACTTCATTATTTCATGGGGCATTTCTTCAACTTATTTGCCAGATGTTTATTTTAATTAAAACCATAGTAGAAATGCCTTTATTTATTTATTTTTACTATTAATTAATTAATTAATTTATTTATGTTTCTATTTGTATTATATATATAATAAAAACATACAATGAATAATATTCAAGGCATTATTTCTTCAACAAGGGCATTTATGGATACAAAATTGTCACCAGATATGCATGTCATCAATCCTGGAAATAAAATTATTTATTTTTCCGAATTTTTTGTATTTTCCTTCAGTAACTGCAATATAACATGGAGGGCTAGCTGTTATCTTTTATTTTTAAATGCCTTAAATGCATATATTTTATTGTTATAACGTTTTCCCAATTATAGAATTCATAAACAAATGTGAAATAATACATTTAAAACTCTAAACCAAGAATGTAAGAATCAAAGAATTTAAACATTCATTGTTTGAAAAGTATTTAATATATTTTTTTTACAATTGTCCTTTAGCCGTGGCACTTTTGTAGCCATTAAATTAGCTTCGCAAGACAAAGGAGTTTGACATTTTATTTCAAAATGCTGTTTTCATCACATTCATCACAATAACATAATTGAGTTCAGAAAAAAGACAGAATTTCTCCTTTTGGAAAAATTACATAATCTACTAAGTATGAAAAGCTTATTTTAAGAACGCTAACTAACTAAAATTTCACAGGCTTAATTCAAGTGCCCATTGCTGAGGAAACACCCTAAATATTTTTTTTTTAGTTTTTTTTTTTTAGATATGTTATTTTAAAATGTAAACTCGACTCAAGCACTTATTTGGTAGGCTACAGTCAAATCTCTTTGTCCCCTAGTCCAAATTACCCCCTCACATAAGCATAAAATGGTTTTCAGTATACACTGCTTAAAAATATGCTGGGTACTTAAAAGGTACTACATTTAGTTTTCTGTTTTGAAGCATATGATTTATGATTATACATGCCAAGCTAGATGAAAGCATCTTAAAATGTTTACTATTTGTGTCACTGCTGGTGAAGCTGTAATCTGCCCTTGCAGTAAGATGCTGACAATAGATGGCCAACCTTTATCAATGCCAACCCATGCTAGTCAGTGTGATCATCCCAGCTATTTTCTCCTGCCAACCACACTTCTCACTTCCAGCTGTTGTTTATAGATCAGGCTGTTTAAACACTAAAAGCACTCTTCTATCAAATGATGGCACTATAACACATTTACTCGCATTAGCTATAAGGGGCGTCGCTAGGCCCTTTAACTGCCTAGCCCCCCTAAAAATAATGTAGGCTACACAAATTCGTGTTCACTTCAATCCTGTTATAATCAGATTCAGCACGCTCTTCATCTTCAATCTGTAGCGCCGCCGAGCAAAGAGCACGCCAGAAACAGAGGAGAGTGTGTGTGGTGTATGTGTGTGTGTGTATTCATCTAAGCCTCATCAGTCTGTCACTGCTGGTCAATGTCAGAATATTTGAGATGACAAATCAAATTAAAGTAGGCGGGCTTTATGTTCACAGACGCTGATAACGAATTTTAACAGCGCGGCTGAGTAGTATGAAGCTGCAGACTCGGAGACCTGCATCAGAGAATGTCTAATTGAAGAGAATTGGCACTGGCTGGTTACTTCTGGTTTCTGGACTGGCTGCAGTAACGCGTCTCTGCCCATGCGGGAGCGCTCGCGGTCGAGTGCAGAATGAATGGGAGTCAATGGGGTTTCACCCCCAGAAATCCACTTTTCTCAGGATGTAATTTTTGTCAAGTAATTTGAAAGTTGCATTCAAAAGGGAGGGCTAAGATAATACACTCAGCTGAAAATTGCATTTTTAAG